ATGTGACAGATAATCACAGTAGCGTTCAGTTTTAGACGGAGTCTTGTTTAAACATGGCGGGATGTGCGGGACACATATAATTTGAGTTCAGTGTCCCTTAAGAAGCTTTGCAGGTACAGTCCTGTGAATTAAATGAGATATCAAGTCAATATTGGCTTTTGGTCGAGTCTTGTGTAAATACGACATGGACTGCGCTGTCGACAAATAAATGTTCCTATTGAAATGCAGACGTTTTTTCACTTCGGTTTAATACAACGCCCCTCGGGAAATACTGCCGCAAACAAATAGCGCCATACTGATGAATTTCAACGAGAGTTTGGCTAATTTGTGACAGTGATCTAATATTTCCAAAGCAAAATCTTGATAAAGCTAGTTAAGGGTCCAGTCTATTGTTCGTTTGTTGTTTAACGCTAGACTCAGCAATATTCCAGCTATGTGACGGCGGTCTTTAAACAATTGAGTCTGGACCAGAGAATCCAGTGATTGACATCGTGACCATCGATCTGCGCAATTGGGATACGATGACATGCATCAACCAAGTCAGCGAGCCTGACGACCGGATCCCGTTAGTCGCCTATTGCGACCAGCATGGGTTGCTAAAGACCAATTATAACCCGGATCTTCATGAGTCGCCCAATCTATAAAGTCATAAAAAATTGTTTTAAAGTGCACGTATCATAAAAAATAGTAACAGTGATAGAAAAATGCGAAAACGTAAACTTAGCGCTGTTGCGCCTTATTAAAAGTGCGTATTTTGAAGTCTGTATTTGTAACAACCCAAACGAATTTTAAAAGCGCTAACGAGGAGGCGTGGCTTAATAAGTACGGCAGGCTAGGCCCGCAGGCTGATAGGGTATTACCACCAGATTAGTTTAGGGGAGACCTATGATGTATAGATAATACCGGTATGGCTAGTGGGGGCGTGTCAAGTCACCTTGATTTAACGTGAATTATATAATTTTAACATTTTAAGATATTTTCCTTTTCAATTATAGGGGCGTGGGTTCCAACCCGAAAATTAGCCATTGTCATAGTCATATTCGGACATATAGGCAAGTTGTGACAGGGATACCGCAAGATGGAACGAAGTAAATGCTGTGCTTCATCATGTTATACACAGGTCGGCCAATATTTTAAACAGAGAAAACGTCTTACAACAAAATTAATGAGACGAGTACCGTAACGCGATAAATAAAAGCAATTTCAGAAATAGCATGTTTCGCACATCGTTATTCGCACTGAATATTGACCTCAATTTGTGATATAAATGGTCTTTGTCCAATTTCCGAAGAGAAGAATATTTTAATTCTTTAATCCCACTCATGCAAATTAAAGTACAGTGTACAAATGTTCATTGATAATTGTGGAAAGGAGAATGTCTCAGGGTTAAAGAGGGGGATCCCCATAGGTTCTGAAATTAGGAAGTGCGTGCGACGTGCCAGATATGTTGCCATGGAAACCATTCGCAGAAACCATTCTGAGAAAGAACACCGGAAGTTATGATTCTTTCCTCCCTCGGAAAGTAGGGGGTTCGATATTTGGAGGACCAACTCTACTCTGTTTGAGGGGTGCAACTCTACAGAGGTATATTTACTCTTCTCTTGCCATAATTCCATCACGGCGGGCACACACAATATGCTTCACGTTTTGTACCCACGAATCAAGAACTGGGAATCAAACCCAGGAACACAGCGTGATAAGCCAACACTTACCTACTAGGCTACCCCACCGCCAGGCTGAGAGTTAGGATTGGTCCCTAGCAACCTATGCTGGTCATAAGAGGGGACGTACTGGAACGGGGGGTCAGGCTCGGGGACTCTGTTGATTGCGTCTCTCAGTACCAAGACGACGTGCGGCGTTGCGCAAACTATTAATCACTGGTTTGTCTGGTCCAGATTCGATTTTTACAGGCGGCGTTATTATGTTGTGGTTAATAAGAAACACGCAGAGTATGAATAGAGTGAATGAAGAGCTTGTAGCAATATTCCAGGAACGCCACGACTCGGGACACCATAAGTTAGCTTCATAATTGTACACACGTGGAGAAGCGAGGCCGGCATTAGGCCTGACGAGCGGACGAGTTTACCACCAACCGCCCTGCTACGAATAGAGAATTTCAAGAAAATAGGCCACAGTGTTATAAAAATAGTTGAACTGTAATCGTTGCAAATCGCCTGCTATTGACAATTCATAATGGATACCGACAGTGCAATCATGCGGAGTAGTTGCTCAGTGACGAACGATCGATTCAACCACAATGCTGTCCCACCACAGAGAATTTAAATGAAATACGCAACACTATTGAAAAGGAGTTGAGGTTCTGATTTAGCATGCATGACACTTGATGATGTGTACCTAGGAGACGCATCTGTACCATGTACTCAGCAGGTGTTGGCCAATAACAAAAACCTAGCAATGTGATTTACTCGGGGTACAGCAGGTGGCAATCAGGTACAAGTCAATAAACCTTCACATTTCTTACTGTTTACACACGAGGAGGGGGCATCGTCATGAAAACACAACCATGCCAATGAACGATTACACGAGTTTATATAGTCAGCAATATTATATAACATAGCTTCGGCTTGTAGTCAGCAATATTATATAACATAACTGCGGCTTATAGTCAGCAATATTATATAACATAACTGCGGCTTGTAGTAGGCAATATTATATAACATAACTGCGGCTTGTAGTAGGCAATATTCTATAACATAGCTGCGGCTTATAGTCAGCAATATTCTATAACATAGCTGTGGCTTATAGTCAGCAATATTCTATAACATAACTGCGGCTTATAGTCAGCAACATAATATACATGTAACATTATAACATTGCACCAAGGTGGTAAACCTCATGACCTGTGCCCTACGCAAGTAGGTGACTGCATCACTGTTTATGCAGAGCCACTCCCAGGCATAACTCTTGAAATCCTTTGTTAGTTTTAACGTTGTCTGTGAAATATTACAAATATATGTCACCGCGGCTTATAACCAGAATATAATCTGACTGCACGTAAACACGTTACGTGGAAGGTTTGATATCACTTTATTTAAAATAGAATCTGTAGGTGGACAGAATGATTTTATTATCTTTTTTGGCATTTCGGAAATAAATCCTAAAAATGTAACCGGAACAGACATGAACATGCCAACATTATTCCGGAACTCTAAGTTTGTTTGTTTGTTGTTTAACGCCGCACTCAGCAATATTCCAGCTATATGACGCCGGTCTGTAAATAATCGAGTTGGACCAGACAATCCAGTGATTGACATCATGAGCATCGATCCACGCAGTTGGGATCGATGACATGCATCAACCAAGTCAGCGGGCCTGACCACCCGATCCCGCTAGCCGCCTCTTACGACAAGCATAGTCGCCTTTTACGGCAAGCATGGGTTGCTGAAGACCTATTCTTCCCCGGATCTTCACGGGTCTCTGGGACCCTAAGGGCCAATCGGTGATGATTTATTTGTTTGTTATTTATTGCCACAATATTTGAGATATATGCGGGCGGGCGATAAATAATCAAATCTGGACCAGACAAATTATATATATAACATATTGACACCCTATGAACAAAGTCACCGAACCAGCCCATCCGACCAGCGTAGGTTGGTTGGTAGCTATTTAGCCCGGAACTGGTCGGTGGTGACATACCCTGTCCTGTGTGGCCTTATCAGTGCCAGTGCTGTGTAGACCCCAAAGCGTCTGAAAGCTCTTAGAATAAATCGGTTCGATAAGACAGCTGTCTGCACACTGCCAATATAGCCGGGATGAGTGAAGTGTACACACACCACGTGGTTGTTAAATGGTGTTGCGCAATGTTCAGGTGGTGTTGGGTGACATCGCTATATGTGGTGGTGATTCAGAGACACATGCTTGTGATATTGTCAACAGCTATTTCCATAATCATGAAAGTTCTCTAATAAAAGCACAGTATAATGAGCATTTGATTATGAATCTCTATCAAATAGTGCACACAACAACAAATTAGTATCGAAATAGGTCCAAATTCATCAGATCGTGAAAAAAAGGAACATAGATGTGTCCCGCTATGAACTTCGCGTATACCAACTTTAATTACTTGTTGAAATAAAATGGCCGAGCAGCTCTCAGTATTGTCGAAGTGCAAAGTCCAAGTCAAGGTCAAAGTCCTACTACTAACTACACCTACAGCACGTTTCATTACATTTTGAGTGAGTGGGTTGGGTTTAACGCTGCTTTTAACAATATTCCAGTTATATCGCGGCGTGTCAGCTTAAAGTGGGAGAAAAGCCCGAAGTGATGCTGGTCTCAGACGTTTACCTCTTCGGTGAATCCCACGAGCACGGGTATGGTGCTGACAAACCTAGAAACATAATCGGGGCGAACCCGGATTCGAAGCCCTAATCATAGGTTTCTGTCGTACACAAGGGACACAACTCTGCACAGCGAATCGCGGCGGTTTAAACGACTGGGCCACCCGCGACCCCATTACATTTTGAGTGAGTGAGTATGGTTTTACGCCGCTTTTAGCACTATTCCAGCAATATCACGGCGGGGGACACCAGAAATGGTCTTCACACATTGTACCCATGTCGGGAATCGAACCCGGGTCTTCTGCATGACGAGCGAACGCTTTAACCACAAGGCTACCCGACCGCCCCCATTACATTTTGAACACAAATGTATGAGTAATTGCCATGAATAGTTATTCCAAGCTCTGCAACAAATCCAGGTGTCATCATTGGTGAGAACAACCAGCCTTCATATAGTGACACATAGCGTGCACAATGATGACGACGACGCGCGACATTCGACGACAGAAGCTCACATGCATTTCAAGCAGACCAGGTGAGCTAAAATAGTAGCGTTAGTTAGTAAGTGTCGAAACCATAACAATAAAACACTGAGAATGTTGTATCTGTGATAAATGATGTGGCACTGTCTGTATGCCACCAACGTCCCTGCCCGTCCCACGCCAATACAACTCTTGTTGATATTTACATCCTACATACCTATATACCTACATCCAAAGCTGGTGTTGTCAACGGAGGACGACTGTTCCGCGTGAAGGCAGTCTGCATCAGCCTATCCGAGATTCTGACAAATCCGCCGCTATCCACACGTCCGGCAAGGACAGGTTGTAGTGACTACTGTGTCGTGCCACACTGCACACCGCTTAGTGGGTTGTGGTATTGATCCACCCCGGGTAGAGTGTCCGTTGCCATAGTTGACGAAGGACATTGTGTCAGAGCGATCTTGTCTCCCTGCGTGTCTTCTACTCATAATCGCGTGAGCGTGGTGTGTACGTATATTCAAATGTTGTACAGTAAACGACGGTTATAACGAACTCCATGGGACCACTAACTTAGTTCGTAATAACCGTACTTCGTTATAAGCATATATACAGCAATTTGCCAGGACTAAAAAAAGTTCGTTATGTCGGTCAGTTCGTTATAAGCGTGTTCGTTATAAATGAAGTTATCGTACCTGGACTATTTAATTAACATTATATTGACATTTTTCACAGTCCTATTCCTAAAGGCCGCCCAGTCTGTGACGCACCAACAGCGTGACAGTCACAATTGTTACATTTCAATAGCAACCGAGATCAATACAACACAGCCTCGGTGCGTAGACACGGGACTTTTTTTCGATCTCTGAAAATTGATTTTTTGTTTGTTTGATGCCCTGTTGCACCGGATATTATTGAACTCGGCGCAGCCTGAAAATGGGGACATTGGGATGTTGTGTGGCTGTATTTGAGGCATTTCGTACAATGTTTGACAGGTTTGATATAAGGTTTGACCACTAGTTTATAAATGGCACCGAAAGAGATTGTTTCCGGGGCTTTTAGGATTTGTTCTGTTCTTTTGAAGTTGAAGATTGCAGTTGGTGTAGGATGGGTTTTTCCGTTCTTAGTTGTGGTTATTCTTCGAGTACTGATTATTTGTTTGCCTGATCAGTAACACGTGCGAGGTCCTCATCCGTATCTCTAGGACTAACTCTTATGACACCCCGAGTTCATGTTTGCCAGTAGGGACTTCGCCTGATACGTTTATTTCGAATATTTGTCTTGTTTGAAGCTACTCTGAAAGCATCCTGAGTTGGAAATATGGTTTAAACTCCCCAAAAGCCACCCCGCCCAAACCCAACCAACCTCACCACCCACACCTCAAATAAACGCCAAAATAAGAAAACTAACAATACCCCTCCAACCTCGTAACCACCTTCGCTCTCTTTTTCTTCTCTACAGTCCCTCCAAAATCCTCTCCGTAGCCTACCCATCAACCAAAATTGAATTATTTTTAAAAAAACATAACATTCCCTATTCTAATATAAAACTCCCAAATAAGGGCTTCCAAATCACACAATGCGAGTGAAACCAAGTATATAAACAGCTCGCATCCTCACACGGTATCAAAAGTCCATGCTCTTCTTGCTGACATAAACACCAAACATTCTTCACTGCTTCCAGGGGCGGTCGGGTAGCCTAGTGGTTAAAGCGTTCGCTCGTCTCGCAAAAGACCCGGGTTCGATTCCCTACATGGGTACATTGTGTTAAGCCAATTTCTGGTGTCCCCCGCCGTGATATTGCTGGAATATTGCTAAAAGCGGCGTAAAACCATACTCATTCACTATTAACAACCTCATTTCTCTGTTTCCTCGTTGTAAGCCTCACATTCGGTGTTTGGCCGTGAAGTCTCAGTTTTGCGTGAAATGATCTCTGGCAGAACATGCTTCAAAAAGAAATGTTCACACTTGGTGACCAGCTTGACACAGAAGCCATTGTCCCGAGGTATTCCTGTGAGACAAGACAAGACAAGACAATAATTTATTTGCGTCTCACCCATAAGGTACATTGTACAGTATACATATAAATCAAAACATGCTGAAAACTTACGACCAGTCGTAAAACGACTTATAAATGAGAGACGATAAGATCATAAAACCAACTTATATACTAAAATGAATATACATACAATATATACATCATGAATATAAAATAGATCGGCGCTTCAATAAAATATCATAGCAGGTTTTGGCCACGTAAAAGGTGAGATCTGAGCTGGATAGAAGTAGTGTAAATTGCTAACAGTAGGAATAGCCTTTGAAATACGGATCGGTAAAAGTACATCGTTTAAGAGTGAGTGAGTGAGTGAGTTTGATTTAACGCCGCTTTTAGCAATATTCATGCAATATCACGGCGGGGGACACCGAAATGGGCTTCACACATTGTACCCATGTCGGGAATCGAACCCGGATCTTCGGCGTGACGAGCGAACGCTTTAACCACTAGGCTACCCGACCGCCCCTCATCGTTTAAGAAGATCTGTTCTCACATCATTATATAGTGGGCATAAAAGTAAGACGTGTATCTCGTCCTCCACACAGTCCCTACAGTTAAAACAAAATCGCTCTTCTGCTGGAATATTAGAATAGCGGCCAGTTTCTAACTTTAATGGGGCTACCCCGCATCTAAATTTAGCGAGCGCACTTCTGTGGCAGCGACTCAGTGGTTTCTTAACATAATCTTCCGTATCGTAATGGTGTTTGAAACGCCTGTAGGTTCTCAGTTTATTTCTTCCCCTCGCCCCTTGTATTGACTGTAGCTTGTCCCACCACTTTGTTTTATACACTGACATCAGTCTTTCTCTTACTGCCGCGGCAAGGGGCCTCGGCTCAATGTGTGAGCTAGTAGATGTTAAGTGCCCGAGGTCTATCCTCTCAAGACACGACGTCACCCTGGAGTTCAAGTTTTTCTTGAACTTACTGGCCCATAAAAATATCTTCTTAGTGACTCTCCTGTTTGGCGTGTTGACAAGTCTGGCCCAGTGCCTTGAGACTGTGGCCCACGATCTGACAGAAGGTGGGATCCAGCCCACCTCCCCCATATTGCAACATTTGGTGCGTATTTCCCCAGTCCAAGGAAGAAGCGGATAGCACGGTGGTGAACAGCGTTTATCGTCGAATATTCTGTCGTGCCCCATATTGCCGAACCATAGTCCAGACAAGACCAAACCATTGTGTCGTAAAGTTTGCTAAATACTTTAAATGACATACCGCCAAGGCATTAGCACTTTGAGATTAAAAGACCAAGGGCTCTACATCCTGATTTTGCTGCACATTTGGCCATAGAGTTAAAATCTAAATGTTCTGTTAAAAACACACCCAGATAGTTATAAGAATCTGCGACTTCTAACACAAGTTCATCACAGTAGAAAGAAACCGAAGTCCTGGCAATACTAGAACCCCTGAAGTGAACAATCTTGGACTTATCTGCGTTTATATTCATTTTATTGCCCTTACACCACCCGCTAAGAGCAGAGAGTAGAAACTGTAGTTCTTCTGCCTCTTCTGCCAACAGAACAATGTCATCAGCATACGCTAGTACTGAGACGTTATTTTCTCCAACTTGAATGCCCTTTCCAAAATTATTAAGTGTCTTTAAGAGATCGTCAATATATAGGTTTAAAAGTAACGGCGACAATAGACATCCTTGTTTCAAGCTTCTGTTCACAGAAAACCAGTTTGTGTGGGAGCTTTTCACATTGTGATACATGGATTTTATCGCCTTAAACATTCTCCCTCCTATTCCCAAATCCTCCAACTTTCCCCATAATAGTTGTCTATCGATACCATCATACCATGCTTCAAAAAGAAATGTTCACACTTGGTGACCAGCTTGACACAGAAGCCATTGTCCCGAGGTATTTCTGTGTGTTTGCTTCGTACGCTACACTGGTTCACATTGTTACCGTCAGCCATGGTTGCTTTCTGCCTACCAATGCCTCAGGTAGCGTAGGTCGTGACCTCTCCGTACAAATATGGCTTTTCCAATACAATAGGCAAGATAAAGGCAGGAGATGTTTAGTGTATTATTGAGATGCGGGACGCACTACGAAACATTGAGCCGCCAGAACTGTCAGCGATATACCGACGCCAGAGGTAGCCGAACACGCATTTCAGCTTTTGACCACTGTTTCCCGTGACCACACCAGTGTAGACTTATCACGTGACCGGTCATTTATCTTGTTTGCAAACAAATGCACTTATTCTGAAATAAGAACACAGGCTGAATGCAAACATATTGTTTTGCATAATTACATGAATAGCCTACAATGTAACCGTATCATGAGCTGTCTTGAGGGCTTCGATGACAGGAGTGAGTGAGTTGATTTTACGCCGCTTTTAACAGTATTCCAGTTGCATCACGGCGTGTATCAGCTTAATGTGGGAGAAAAGCCCGAAGTGATGCAGGTCGCAGACGTTTACCACTTTGGGGAAACCCACAAGCACAGGTATGGTGCTGACAAACCTAGAAACATAATCGGGGCGAACCGGGATTCGAACCCACAATCACATGTTTCTGGCGTGTCCAAGGGACGCAACTCGGCACAGCGAATCACAGCGCCTTAGACGACTGGGCCACCTGTACCCCCTCGATGTCAGGACGTGACATCTTCGATTTTTCTGTCTTATCGTGATTTTCTCAATTCACAAATCAATAGGAATACTCAAGTAAAGGTTTATGTTTGTGTCATTAGTTGAACAATTTGCACTTTATCTGACCAACTATTTGTATAATTCTGTTTGTTGTTTACGCCGACAAAAGAAAAAACCACTAGTTCTTACAAATAAAATCTAATATTAATGGTCCCCAAATACAGAAATAGCGTTTAAGATAATCTTTTTTTTTTAATTTCTGGAGGAGCATGCCCCCAAACCGGGCCCTCGTAAATTTAGTTTTGTTAACAGTTAAAATTAGTTAAGATGTGCCCCTCACAACAGCAATACTAACGTAAAGTTCTCATTTGCAGTTTATCTGATCAACTCGTAGCATTTTTATTTTGTTTGTTGTCGAGGCCGAACGCAATAATGGAGGTACATTGTTAATATGTATCTGTATGCACACATCAAACTAAATCCTGGCTATTGACAACCTACAACCAGAATTCAGCCATCTAACTGGGGGACATGGTGACTCACAGTGCCTCTGCTTCCTGCTTGGCACCGCAAATGGATTTCATCACAGTATTTACCGTTTGCAGTTAAGATTAACACTAAATGAAAACAAATTTACATTCCAACTTTTGTTATTTACTCAGAGGAACTGGACAAATCGGATACTGATATTATGAAAGCCGCCGGGTAAGATGACCCGCCATCAACCAAATCACCGACCCTGAACACCGCATCCATTAAGTCGCGCGAAAAAAGCTCGGCTCATGGGGACCTTTTCTAACCTGGGCCCCCGCGTAGCTGACTTCATTGCAAGAGATATATATCCGCCAATGTGTAATAGCTGAAAATGAGAAACGGGCTCCGCGAC